TGGTTTCACAGGAGGAGTCTGATGTGCCTGCTTTCCACCTTCTGAGAGAGGCACTCTGTCTCCATTGATTGTAGAGGGCGTATTAGCTGTATTATGAAAGAATTAGTGATTTTGAGCTACCCTGGGCTTCACCCCCTGCCTCAAAGTTTTAGGGGCTGGGGGGAAGAAAGGCTTTATAACAATCTTGCATTCTATTGTAAGCATTGTGTAAACATGTTCCTCTTATGTGGAGTGTAAGTATGGTAGAACTTGTGCATATTAGTTCTCTGTCCAAAAATTGAATATTACAATGTGGGTATCAGATGTGTGCATTATTTATAGTGGTTATTACAAGATTTTAGTAGTTTTGCAGAGAGTGATTCCTTATCTTACAATATCTTTCTGAGAGAAAAATAAATACAAGTTTTCTGTGTTAGTGCATTTAATACTGGTGTGGTGGCTTGACCCTAGCTGGACACCAGCTGCCCACCGAAACCACTCTATCACTCCACCTACTCAGCTGGATGGGAGAGGGAAAATATAATGAAAGGCTCATGGGTCGAGATAAGGACAGAGATAAGGACAGATAATGTCTCACCAATTACTGACACGGGCAAAACCCACTTGATTTGGGGAACTCAGTTTAATTTATTATGAATCAAATCAGAGTAGGTTGATGAAAAATATAAACCAAACCTTCCCTCCACCCCTGTCTTCTTCTTGGGCTCAATTATATTCCTAATTTCTCTATCTCCTCCCCCACCAGTGGCACAGGGGCACAGGGAACAGGGGTTGTGGTCAGTTCACTACATGTTGTCTCTGTCACTCCTTCCTCAGGGGGAGGACTCCTCACACTTTCTCTGCTCCAGCATGCAGCCTCTCCCACAGGAGACAGTCCTCTATGAACTTTTCCAACATGAGTTCTTCCCACAGGCTGCAGTTCTTCATGAAATGCTCCAGCGTGGATCCTTTCCATGGAGTGCAGTCCCTCAGGAGCAGACTGCTCCAGTGTGGGCCCCCTGTGAAGTTCTGCCAGCAAACCTGCTCCAGTGTGGGCTTCCCACAGGGTCCCAGCCTCCTTTGGGCATCCACGTACTTTGGCATGGGGTCCTCCACAGGCTGCAGGTGGATCTCTGCTTCACCGTCGACCTCCATGGGCTGCACGGGCACAGCCTGCACCACCATGGTCTTCCCCATGGGCTGCAGGAGAATCTCTGCTCTGGCACATGGAGCACACCTGGCCCCTCCTTCACTGACCTTGGTTTCTGCAAAGTAGTTAGGGAGTCACATTCCTTCTCCTGCTTGTTAGGTAAATGTTGACCAAAGTCAACAGCACTTCTCTTGAGCCTGTTGTTCCTGTTGAATGCAGAATAAACTTCTTGCTGTTTACTTTGATACAGTTTAAAACACCTTATGTTTGTGCAATTTTTTCTTTTTTTTTTTGCTTTAATCCTCTGAGAAAAAATAGAGAAAGAAGTCTAAGTCTTAATTTTATTGGATCTCAGATTTCCATATATAGTCATTTAGATGGAGTAAACCTTTCAATATCTTTTCCTGTACATTAAATACTGCTATTTTTCTTCCCTGTGCCAGCCTTTGAAAGCTGCTTATAGCCCCTTCAAACATATGCAGACTTGAACTTTGGAGGATTCAGATGTACCAGGTGGTGCCACAGTGGGCTATTTGTGCATGGGGTACAGGGGTTTTGCATTCAGTAAAAACTGTAAAAGCAAAGTTGGTTGAGAAAAGTTGAGAAATTCCTCACTTGCATAGAGGAGACACTTGTCATGGATGCTCCTAACTAGTGTGTGGCTCCTGTGAGAGTTTTTAAAAGGATTTCATCTGAGGGAGGAGACACATGGCTCTATCGTGAAACTTGAAGATGAAGGGAAACAATCACATGGGCACATAAAACAAACTCAACACTGTACAGCACAGAAGCTGTGCTACTTGAGGTAACCCACGGCCCGATGGTAATCGGGTTTCTCAGTTATACCTGAGAAATGGGGTTAATGTGGTTGTTCTGGCTTTCTCAGGTATCGCAGCTGGCAAGTTACTTCGAACCCTTGGTTTTAGCTGCAGTTGGCGTGGCATCCAAAACACTAGATCATCAGCAACAGATGACCGTGTTGGACCAGAGCAAGACGCTAGCAGAATCTGCCTTACAGATGTTGTACGCTGCCAAAGAAGGGGGGGGAAACCCCAAGGTACAGTGGCCGTGTGTAACTAAGGAATTAATGGAGATGGGTGCCAGGAGAGGATGGGGGTGCGGGCAAGGGGAGAGGGCAGGCAGGGCAGAAAACACAGCACCTGCCTACTGCACAGCTCAGGCAGTGGTTTGTGGGGAAAAACCAGCTCCCCTGACAGCTCACAGCAGAGATGAAAACACTTGTTAAACACTGGGTTATGGTACAGTTTACAGCATGCTCACAAGGGTCATCTAGTCAAGGTCTGAGGGCAAATGTCTATGTGCTACTGCAGAGACCAGATGGTTAAAAGACAGGGCCTCAGCTGCAGCATGGCCCAAGATGGGAGAAGGGGAGAGGTGCTGGCCCCAGGGCACGCCTCACCTGCAGAAAAGGCCTGCTTTCTCCTGCCGTGCTCCACAGGTAAGCTGGCACCTGCTCACGAGGCCGTGTCCACTATTCGGACCAAAAGCCCTCTGCCCGGGGGCGAGGCTGAGTGCACACCCTCCCCCCACAGGCGGGAGATGGATGTGCCCCCTCCTGCCCCGTAGGGCCGGGCTGCACACTCTCCTTTACACTCAGAGCTGGCCATGCCCCCCCCTACCTTCTTTCCCCCATAATACTCATTACTGGCATTGTGCCCACACAACACTTTTTGCTTCGAGGATGCAGGGCTCGTCTCTGCACAGCGCTGTTCACCTTGGGGACGCTTCACGTGCCTCATTAAGGGGTCGTCTTCTTGCAAGAATGATTGCCTCGATGGGGCCGCATGCGCCTCTAACTGCTCCTCTCTGCGGAATGCTTTTTGCTTGCCTCAGTGGCACGATGCGCACCTTATTAAGGCCTCGTCTCTGCTTCTTGACTCGGGAGCACTGAACGCTTGAATAAGGGCTCCTTATTAAGAGCCCTTATAAGGGCTCCTGTTGGGGTGACGGTCGATGTTAGGGGCCTGCACCCTTTAAGGCCTCGTCTTCGGGCGACACTCTTCACTAGGCCGCGCGCGCGCCCTTACAAGGGCTCGTGTCGATGCCACAGCCTTTACAGGGCGCGCGCTGCGCTCCGCCTGGGGTTCGACCGCGTGCGTGAGGAGTCGCCGTCGCGCGGCACTTTTTACCTCACGCGCGGTTCGGCCGTGCAGGCGGCAGGGGGCGCGCGACGTCTCGTTCCCTGCCCCGCCTCGCGCGCCTGCCGGGCCCCGCGGCGGCTGTGGGCGCTTTCTCTCGGTGTCGCTTCCCGCGCCTCCTGAGGGGCGCTCGCGCGCCCTGGTGGTTTTCACGGCTCGTTTATGTTTCTGGTTTTTTTTAAATATTTTATTTGTTCCACATTTTAGGTTCGGGGTTTTTTTTTCCATTTTTATGGGTTTTTCGTTAATATGAAAGCTCTTTTTTTGAAGTACGTTGACTGCTTTTTGTGTTTGATATTCGTTTCCCTTTCCTGTTTTAGAAGAAGTGTTGCTGTGAAACAATTCCTTAGGAGTGGGTTGAGGTTTCTAAGTGTTTTATTGATTTTATGTGATTGTGGGGTGGATTTATTGCTTTATATGGCAATTTTTTTCTGCTGTTGTTCATATGTGTATATTTGGGGGTTTTGCACCCTTTGTTTTGATACAGACCCAGGCTGTCTTAGAGCCTGGTTTTTTCTTTCCCTTGTTTCTGTTGCATGAGAGTCATTCTCATCATCTTTTCTAAGAAAGGTCCCTTGCTTTTCTCAGCTATTTTTGTTCGTCATTGCGTTTGCTTGTCTGAGGAAGACTTGCTCTGTCTTCATTGCTGTTAGATTTCACATCTCATCTTTGACATGAAAGGGGATTTTGAGAGCTGCTGTTGTATTTTCTTCATTAATTACACTTTGGATTGATGCATTGATTTGTGCACAGACTGCCCTCTGATGATCTGTTACCTCATTTTCTTTCTCCCAGGCATCCCATACTCACGATGCGATCACTGAGGCTGCTCAGCTGATGAAAGAGGCTGTGGATGATATAATGGTTACCCTAAATGAAGCTGCAAGTGAAGTAGGCATGGTTGGAGGCATGGTAGATTCGATAGCAGAGGCAGTGAGCAAGGTAAGCATAGCAATCCAGAGCCCCTTTTTGTTCTGTGCTTGAAAGCTGATCCACATTGCAAGGTGTTGGAAGAGCTGCTGCTGATTTGCTTCAGCGTGCTATGACAGGCAACCTAAGGATTCGTTGATTTTGCAGACTGTGAAATCAAATTCATGTTGTCGACGGTGCTTGTGTTAACAACCTACACAATACTTACTGGTAGAATTTCTACAAAATATTTTTATTCAGTAATATGCTGCTATTTTATTGTAACCATAGATCAATTGGTCTTTTTGTTTTTTTTGCTTTCTTTTCCTACTTATCTTTCACACTACTTTCTTAAACAATCAGCAGGGTAACCTTGAAGCAAACTGCTATTTAGAGAAAATGTCAGAGCTTGAAGTGCTTTGCTATACTTTATATTCTGCTGAAAATGCATACTTGCAAAATGTAAATTAGTTCAATCCAAATAATTGGCTTTTCCTATCTCAAGTTGAACGTGTGTGGGATTGAAGCCTTTACCACATAAAGCAGTCTTACATTTTCTTCTTGCAGGAAGATTTTGTTTTGTAACCATTGCACGTTCCCTTCTACGTTAGCCGAGAACTACAGGTGGTTTGACCTTGCTTGAAAACTCTACAGTGTAAATTCTCTGCATCTTCCAGTCTCGTAATATGGGCTAAAGACTTTTCTGAGCTTCTCCTTACATCCTGCTGCACTGTCTTCACTTGCATATTTTGAGAGAGGAGATTACAAAACTCCATACGAAATACAATTTCATCACTGGGTGTAAAGTGTGCTGTTGGTTATGACCTTACTATTTCTGCCATATTTTTCCCTCTTTCTTGCAGCTGGATGAAGGTACACCTCCAGATCCCAAGGGAACATTTGTTGATTATCAGACCACTGTGGTGAAATACTCTAAAGCTATTGCTGTAACAGCACAGGAAATGGTAAGATATTTGGTTAAGACAAAGTACAAACTCTCGCTTACATAAGGAACGTGGAATGATTTGCACAGTGTTGTGAAACTCTTTATAATGCCACTTAGCAATAACCTTATCTCTTTAGGGGCAGTGGAGCAAAGGAAGTGATGATTTTGTCGACTTGACTCTTGGATCTTAGTGGCGTGATCATAGGGGTGGCTCTCTAGAGGAGTGCGGGGTTGCGCTGTGGCTCTTCTGCACAAAAACTTTTTATTTGGTTTATTTTCTAAGAGAAACAGAAAGAAAACATTTCACTGACACACTTTTTCTTCAGCTTGTTTAATTGTTACTGAAATACCACCTTACATTTATTGATGACTTCAGGTTATCCTTTTACACTTACTGTTTCATTTAGCCTGTGAAATAACATCAATATTGTCAGTCCCCTGTAAAACTTATGAACGAATGCAGATCAACATCTCAAACAGTTCTTTTCTTGCATTTCTTTGATTCGCCTGGTTTTAACAAAACAAAAAAGGACGCCTGTTAAATCGAGATTTTCTTCACTCATGTTTCACAGTAACGTTTATCACAACATGTCTGCCTCTTGAAGAGGTCTTCTGTTGCTGCTTTGTTTTTAAAAGAGGCAAGGGCACTATTTACCTATACCACAGACAGGATTTTTTATGAACTTGATTGCTGTTGTAGTCAAGACAGGTTGATGATTCTGCTGTCTACTATTGGCAAACAGTATGAATTTATCTAAAACTAGTTTTGTCCCAAGGATGGAATTCCGTGGCTTTTGCTAACATAAATTGGAGACAGAAGAAATATCTCTGTTAAAAGGTAGGCTTTTTCTAAAAAGAGATTCAGTTATTTATACTGACGCTCTACCCAGGTATTCTGCATAGTCCTACCTATTTCTTCTTGGTCCCCTTCCCCTATCGTGGACATGTTTTCCATTGGTCCTCAGGTTTTTCCCATTTTCATGCTCCTGTGCCTTGCCAGCTGAAACCGATGTAGGCTAGCTCACCATTGACAAAATAAGGTGGCTGTGATACACAAAACCTGCTTCCCAATTTGATCCAAGTAACTGTGTACCTGGCCCGCTGCCCCGCTGTGTCAAAGAGTGAGTTACCAGCTTTAACTGCTGCTCTTTGATTACTGCGTATGTTCTGCGAGTGCCTGGTTACTGTGACTCTAATAAAGCATGTTTGCTTGAGTTTCCTCGTGGAATTCTTCCTGGAGGACAGGTCCCTTACATGGCAAGCGGTTTACCTCATTTCATCAGTGTGGCCAAACAAATGAGACTGCTTCTAAGCTGGAGTGTATTAACAAATTATTCTCATGCCTGTCATTTTTCTTTTTCTCTTGCCTGTGTTCTTTTTTCAGATGACTAAGTCGGTTACTAACCCGGAAGAGTTGGGAGGACTTGCATCACAAATGACCAATGACTATGGGCATTTGGCTCTCCAGGGCCGAATGGCTGCAGCTACAGCAGAACCAGAGGAGGTCTGCAGTTTTAAGACCTCTTTATTCTCTGTTCATGGTGGTGTCAACATGGGTATTTTTTCAGCAGAGAGAATACAGTAAATACAGAGCAAAGTGATAAGGGGTGTTCAACACGCTTGCAGCCATTGCTAAGTACGATACATCTCTTGTATGATCAGATGGATAATAGGTTTCAAACCATTGGGTGATGTGGTTTCTTTTAAATGTCTTTGCAATGATGCTACAACGAACGCAGCAGATGCGTTTTCACTGCCTTTGCTTCATTAGCCACTTTTGCACCCAAGCATCAGCTGTACTATTGCGTGCTCTGTCTGACAGATGCACTACCCACCGACACTTGAAATGTGGGACAGGTATGTGTATCCATTCCCAGAACAATTTCATTTGGCCTACTATCACTTGATTGCAACCGTGACGTGAACCAAGTCAACATTATAGGCGTACTTCGACTGTACGGATCTGTCTTTTTTACAATCTGCTTCTATTTTCACTAAAAACAGACTTCAAGACACAAACTATATGCAGCCAGACAAAAACTCTACTGTGTGTGTTTTCACTGGATAGAAGGGAACCAGTGAGCATATTGTCTTTTGAAAATGCTGTGAAATCGTAGAATATCAACAGCTATTTGCATGTATGTGTTCTAAGTACTGTTTCCTTCTTATGGTTTGTGGGGAGATATCTATTTTGGTCTTTGATACCAACCTTTCCCTCCTCCAAATATCCTCGCTATTCAGTGTGCCTTCACAGGTTGGGGCAGAGCTGCACATAGTACATATTTACTGATAACACACCTCAGTTTTCTCTCTGCTCATGTGCAGAGGTGTATAACGATAGGAATTAGGATTTACTAAAAGATATTTTCAGTGAACATTCAGAACTTCAAACTGGCTTCGGTTCTGTTTCTCTTCAGGCCTCCTGTTGCTCTCAATACATGTGAATTGTCTACAGAATAGGTTTTCTCCTAGGAGTGCCATCAACTGACAGATTTCTAACAATGCTTAGGGACTATGTAAGAGACGTAACATTTTACTTCCTAAGTGTGACTTTGTACACTACAAGCCTTGTTGTAAGAATTACCCAATCAAAGAACAGAACCCTTTTGTGAAAACCTCATTCCACCTTTAGAAAGAAGTAGCTTGCAATAATAGAGGACAATTCTGTAGACCGGGATAGAACCTCCTAAATTACTTGGGGCTTTTGCTTGCAGATAATTTGCAAATACAAAGACAACTCTTAATTATTTACTATACAGCTTTCCTTTGATCTCATGTTTTGATGAATTACAAAGACACATAGGCTTTTTTATCTTGCCTGTAAGTGATTTCAAGTATAACTTCATGTCCTGAAAGTGAGATGCAGGCAACCAGTAGGAGCACAAGTATCTTTTGCTGACGAGACATCTCTTGTACCTCAGAATCGGAACACAAAGCGAGAAAAGCAGGTTCCTCACAGAGGAATATGGACTATTTGCCTCAGTTGCATTAACCTGTTACAGAGCACGATTACAGAAATCCCTTCACCTCTCTCCTTATTATGCACCTCTGGCTATGGAGAATAGACAAACTTTGTTGAGATGGAGTAAGAGGGTATTTCACCATTGCCAGGTGTATCAGATTATCTAGACAAAGGACTTTTAAAGAGTTCTTTACTTTGTAATTACATTCCACCACTGATAGACCACTTGAGAGTTTCGTGCTCACTAGCTATGTGAAAAGCAATGGCTTGTATTCGGCTTGATATTCTTAAGTTACCATATCTGCATGTTACTTTCTGCCTGAAGTTGAAATAATTCCATTTGTGTTACTAATGGCTATGATTCCTGCCTACTTGTTAATCCCAATACATACCTACATGCCTAAGTACATGCAGGCACTAAAACTATCACATTTCTAAAAAGGGACCGTGCGGCTTGTGCTGTGGGGTTATTAATAAATCAGAAACAATGAGGGCAGGATTTTCCACATTTCACTGCCCTGCGTGTACATGGTCAGTTCTGGAGGGCTGAGACTGTACGAGATTCGGAAGCAAACAGAGTCATACACTTTTTTACTCAGTTTCAGCAGTGGAGAGTAAATGTGTACTTTTTACCCGTCATACCTACCTTGAACACACTGATGGTACAGTTCTGGGAGATGAGGTAGTGTTATTCCAATGGGGTGAAGTTGTATGTGCTTGAATTACGTAGGTTTAACTTGTGTACGTGCCTCATGCCTTCTGTTTCTCAGAGTCTGGTTCACTAGTGCCCCTGTTTCATCAGTAAGCCTTTCACACGGCTGTGCTACATGAGTAGGTGGTATTACATATCTCCTTTTTTTCCTGATCTCCTGAGAGAGTTTAGCAATGGGCAGAATATTGGTAATAAAGAATCACCAAAGTGGCCATGTTTCCATTTGTGTTGACACTGTGTACCATGATAGTGTCACATCATTACATTTATTTATTCACTTTGCTCTTGCTTCCTTTTTCCCTGCACTTTCTTTACCATCTAGATAGGGTTCCAGATCAGGACTCGGGTGCAAGAACTTGGCCACGGCTGTATCTTTCTTGTGCAAAAAGCTGGAGCTCTTCAGATTTGCCCTACAGACAGCTACACCAAAAGGGAGTTGATAGAATGTGCTCGTGCTGTCACAGAAAAGGTAAGACATGCCTCTATTTTGCCCCACAGTGTTTTGTCTACCATGCTTCTCCAGAGAGTAAATCAGTTAAATTTTTTGGGATTGGGATTCTTTTTTGTTAACTTCCCATTATAGTACAAGATTAGGTGAATTACACTAAGTAAGCTTTTTTTTTCCAGTTATTTAGTGTAGCTCATGTGCTAGTATTAGCAATTCCAAATTTAGGCACAGGTAGACAGTATCTTTTTAGAAGAGTTAAAGCTGATATGGAAAGTAATGATTCACAGGGACCACCTATTCAGGGACAACTTTGAATGTGAACAGAACATCAGGAAGAACTGCACTGTTAGAAGTCAGTAGACATAGCTCCAGAGGTGGATCCTTTCCTGCAAAAGCAGAATTTAGGACCGTAGCACGGCATGAGAACAGCATCCCAGCTGTGGAGCTTTGTAAGTACAGTGTTAATTAGATGAAACGGAGATCTCTAGCTTTCTTAGTGATCAAAAATGTTGCTAGATATAAAGCCATATATTGTCTTTCTATATTTTTCTATAAATATGACAATATTTAGTGTCTGGATCCAGAGTCTATGCTTTCTATTTTCTTTGATGTTAAAGTTTACATTGCTGCACTGTACATGACTCCTGGGGTGCTTGAGGCCAGTGTTCATTTGCACGTGTTAGGGGAAAAACAGTAGCTCTCGGCTCTGAAATTTTTCCTGGCGGAAGTTCACTACATTACTTCTGACTGTATTTCAAGGAAGTTTTAGCTGATGTGCTTCATCCTATCATGAACAGATTGCTTTATTCTGCCTGAAAAGTATATTTCATAGCCAAAGTCCCCTTTAATTTGAGACAGTCTTTAGTCATCACAATGACTGCTGCACAAAGAGAATAAATAAGGGAAGGGGGAAAGAGAGGGTTATTAAAGTTTGCAAAATAGTGCTGCGAAATGGATCTCCATTGTTGATTCCAGTCGTGTTAAAGAGCTCGCTTAACTCAGCATCCCATAAGGAGACTTTCTTTCGATGACTACCTTGTTGCTTTATTTTTTTTCCAGGTCTCCTTAGTTTTATCTGCCCTTCAAGCAGGAAACAAAGGCACACAAGCCTGTATTACTGCAGCTAGTGCTGTGTCTGGGATAATTGCAGATCTAGACACCACTATCATGTTTGCTACTGCTGGAACCCTTAATGCTGAGAACAATGAATCGTTTGCAGACCACAGGTCAGTGAAACTAAAAAAGATGGAAGATGCATTCACAGGGGAACCGTGGAACTGACATAAGCGACTGGCACGTGAAGATAAACTTTTACCTTTCTAGATTCCCATGAATGAAATTGAATGGGGCAGTGGAGTGAGAAGAGAAATGGGAAAACTGGTATATTGATAGAGAACAACAAACTTCGCTTTGGTTATTTCTGTGAGGAAAGAATTTTAAAAAGTTGGGGAACATCTGTCAGGAGCACTTCCAAAAGAAGACTGTAACTGTAGCACTATTTTGGCTTATTTTTTGTTTTTATTCAAGCCATCTCATTGCATAGATTATCATGCACTGTTATTCCAGTAGCAAAAATCAGCTGCCAGTGACACTGAAGAAGAATCTTCTATATCCTTTTTTCCCAAGAGCTGTTGGAAAAAAAAATTGTCTGGCTGTTTGTCTTGCTAAATTTGGCTTATAGTTAATGCTGTTGTGGCCAGCAGTGATGGAAACAGCACAGCTATGCCACGCATTTCCCTTTTGGCAGAGATAAGCCTGTTTTCCCTTCAAGTAGCATCTGCAGCAAAATAATCCACAGCATTTTTCATCACTTTAAGAGATTTGCAGCATCTGGCTGTTACTTCCTTTGCAGTAAAAGGGCCTGACAGCAAAGATACTGCCTTACTGCCTCACAGCCTAGTTGGCCTATGCAACAGTTGCATAGCCAACCTTTATTTCCTGCCTTGCCAGTTGAAAAGAAGGAGGAAAGAGGCAATGGTGCGCAAGTTGCTGCCACTCTGCAGACTGAAAGTCAAGGTTTTTCATACAGTTGTCATTAGTTTCCAAGCTGATACTTCGTATTACTATGTTATGTTCTTACTTAACTTGACTCATTTGTGAAGTGCATACTCAAAATGGTTTCTTCTTTTACCCAAACATTGATTTTCTTTCAGTCTTAAAATACTATGCCCTCTTCTGCTACTGCCCTACTTCATTTCTTTGCAAGATGCAGTCATTTTTACAAGCCCAAAATACAATGCTACTGTTTTAGTAGTCATCTTGGGATTTTTTTGTTTTTGTTTTGTTTTGTTTTTACTTGCAACCTCACCTGTGGTATATTATCACGAGTGCACACTTGATGACTTACATGATGGCTTACATCAGCTCTTTAGCTCTTTAATATAGCCGTTAGTCACCATAACATTGAAAAACACGTTTTTTTCCTCTTCTCCTTTTCCACTTCCTTCCCTGCTTCCTCTTTTTTTCCTTCAGGGAAAATATCCTGAAAACGGCAAAAGCTTTAGTTGAAGATACAAAATTGTTGGTTTCTGGTGCTGCCTCAAGTCAGGACAAGCTAGCCCAAGCGGCTCAGTCATCAGCTAACACCATCACTCAACTTGCTGAAGTAGTAAAATTAGGAGCGGCTAGCTTGGGATCTGATGATCCTGAAACACAGGTGAGATGTTTTAAGATTTTTCTGATACTCTGAAAAAGATCAAAGACAGTTTTCGATTGATAAGACTTTATGGGACTTCTGCTTTTAATCAACCCAATCTCTTGTGGGACAATCAAGAGGTTAAAGCATTGAGTGGAACTAGACAGGCCTTTGTTGTATAACACGTTTGCTTTTATTTCATGGGTGCGTTCCAGCTAGGATGCTTTTGGCAAAGTATTTTTCTCCTTTTTACTAAGTTGTGATTGGACCCCTGACTCATCCTGTTTTTCTTCTAAAGAGCTTGCATGACTTTAAAGCTACTTACCCAGTTTACAGCTGGGCTGTCCACTATGTGTTGCTTGTGTTGGCTGTCAAGCTCTTGCCATTCTCTAGCTATACCTGAGTTGTTTTTCATTTAACTCAGTAACTACCCTTCAATGTAGATTATCTCAGGTGTTTCTTCAGTTGTTTGTTTGGACCTTGGTGAAATGGAGGTTGGCAAGCATATGGCAGATGTGCCTGTGGTGGTACCAAGTTAGTTTGAAAAAGCCTGCTCATTTGCATAATTCTCTGAAAGGGATGTCTGTTCTCCTTTGCTTGACATGTATGATGGACTAAACTTCCAAGATGTTCCTCTCTAGGAAAATAATGCTGGAAGCACTTGTTTTCTTTTTTTTTAACATAAGAATTTCCATAAACTAGCAACACTTTCAAAACATTTGTTGCACATTGTTTTTCTCTATATGTAAAAGCTGAGAATGCAGTACTTGGAATAAAAGCTATTGCGCACAAGTAAGTATTTACTTGGAGCAAAAATAAATGAGCTTTCTCATTTTTCGTGCATTTTTCAACATTTTCCTTAAAATTAACCCTTCTCAATTCCAGCAAAATACTTCAAACACCTTTATTTCTACTAGCGGAAGGGGTAAAGGAGAAGGATTTGGAGGAGACAATTATTCCAGTATCACCCTAAAATAATAAGCCTGGTGTAGTGTCTGTATTTTGTCTAGGACTTTTGTCTTTGAGCTTGGATTTAGGAGGCGGTATCTCCAGATTTGACTTTTCCTGATTTTAAGGCCCACCGAGTTATTGAGCATTTAGTTCTGTATAGCCTCTTACAGAGGTTCAACTTCTTTTCCCTGAAAGAACGTCTCCCTCTTCTAACACCTAGCCATAGCAAGTACTGATCTTTCAGTAGCTGACTTCAGAGTTGGTACTTAGCTGTAGCATTAGACTGTAAGCTTATAATCAGTCTGTTTTCTTGCTGTCATCCCACTTCCACGTAAAGGGTGAAGAACACAGAGAAACATAAACCTCCTCTTAGGGAAGCTCAGAGGAAGGAAATCCTACCTGCAATCAGCATTTCAATTTCTTCACTGGAAATAGTTGCTTTTATAGATTCTGCTCGGTTGTATGTAATACTGTAGCTATCAACACAGCTTTCCCTCTTCCAGAATATTGCAAATTTTACTGGGATAGAGGGAGAGTGGTACTACTATTTCTATACTAGTAGTAGACTTTCTTTTTAGCTGTGTCCTAAAAATGATACCCTCATCCAGGCTACCATTTCTTGTCTGAGCCTTACAGCTATTTCTCATTTCTATAGGTTGTCCTGATCAATGCTATAAAGGATGTTGCAAAGGCCCTTTCTGATCTCATTGGTGCTACCAAAGGAGCTGCCAGCAAACCAGCAGATGATCCATCCATGTACCAGCTGAAAGGTGCTGCTAAGGTAAAACCTTATTCTTAACATTTTATTTGAAAGTATCTGTGTGATCACACTTGGTAGACATGTGAAGCTTGGATTTCAGCAATTTCTGATTGCCTGAAATCTCACCTCTTTCATTGTTGCATTATCATCCCGAGATGATACAGCAAAATAGGAAGACGCTACAGAGTTTCCATGAAGCCGTCAGTTTTTGTAGGCTGTCAGATGACTTTTGTGTATGTGATGACAGAACTGTAATCTTTCTGAAGATTCTTCTTTCTTTTGCAAGCCCACCTCTGAGGGCAGGTTGTCCTTTAATAATGTTATAGACTAAAATTAATCCAGTATAAAATGGCACCTAAATTCTGCATTCTAAACCATGACATATGCTCAGGATAAGCATGCAACCTCCTTATTTAGACTTTGCAGCTTGGGCAAGAGGGGGGAGGAAGGAAGGAAAAAAAAAAACCCCTCCAATAACTCCACAGTAGACTATTGTACATTTCTGTCCCCTCTCTTCTAGATCTTTCCAGGAAGTACATAGGTATCAAAGCTCAAAGCCCACACAGATTACACCATACCTGTGATATCTTGGTACTTCATTTTCCCTGCACCTGTGATGTACTATGACATTTGCCTCACAAAGATCTTGTGGCTTTCTGCCTACAAAATACAGATGCCAAGATTTAGGCGGTACTCTGCTTTCACATTATGAGAGTGTCGTGGTAGCTTCTTGCTTGGCTGGAAGCTCTTCTCACTGTCATGTCTGTTGTTTACTTGTAAGACCTGTGCCTCTCTTCCTTTCAGAGCACATGATAACAGTTTGCTGTTGAGGCACTACTTGAAAATGACCCATCTAGTCAAGAAAAGTGGCTTCTTGGCTCTTCCTGTTGTGAAGGGCTCTATGTTTTAAGTCATAATTGTTAAGAAGCTGGCCTTTATGCCTCTTCATTTTCCACTGTAGGTATCGTTTGTATCTCAACATACTGGGGTATAGGAAAAGTGTAGCTACTACAATGATGACCTGGTTATTCTGCATCAGGACTATTGGGTTTCTAATGGGAACACTAACACTGCTTCTGTATCTGCATTTGGGCTTGAGGCTGGTGTTCAGCTGCTTGCTTACCTGGGTTTTTATCTGATTGCAGAGAATGTGCTGAGTAAATTTCTAAAAGAAATACCATACAATGATTCACGTCTCTTTCAACCTGCAGTGTAAGACATGTGGGAAGAAAAGACACTAACATAATCAACCTGTATATTATAATACAATATAATCAATCAGACCTACCCTGGAAATGTGAATTTTCCATTTTTTGTAAAATTTTGGCAGAACGCTCACACTTAAGATGGTATCACTCTACAGTTAGTTGTGCTACATTTCTGCAACTTACAGGGAGATTTCAGAAACTGGCCAACATGAGAGTTGGTATTTAGTCCCACAAAAAGTACAGTTCATGAAGCCTCTTAGGCCCTATTGGAAGTAATAATGCTACCTAGCTTAATTTGCCTTGCTTCTTACCCTGCTGTCTCTAAAAAATGGGAGGAAGGAATCACGTACTTTTGTCTTCCCCTCTCTCTCCTTCAGGTGATGGTAACAAATGTCACATCGCTTTTGAAGACTGTTAAAGCAGTAGAAGATGAAGCTACTCGAGGGACAAGAGCTCTTGAGGCCACCATTGAGTACATCAAACAGGAGCTCACGGTACAGAACAAAATTGCCATAAGTGGCAGTTGTTGAAAGTATGCTCTTACACTCAAACCAGCCTGCCCAGGCACTCCTCAAGCTATGCCTTGCAGTGCATCAGATGCAATTTAGTTCTCCCTACCTGTTGCAAGTCTTCTCTGAAAGTACAATTACAATGCCACTTCAGCCTATCTACTTTCAGACATTACAAGTCCCCACCTTGAGATTTGAGATGCTACTGTCATGTACAAATCTGGAAGCAACTGTTTCTTTGTGGTTTGGATGTTATACTTTCACTACAGATATTCTTTTCTGAATCCAATGCTGTTCACTTTCCTTTGTTTTGAATCCTGGCTTTCGTAGTGTCTCCTCAGCATCATAGCCATATTGTACCTGCAGTTTAATCATGTTTCTATTTTTCCTTTATTATGAAATTATACTACTAGCGATAGCCTACTATGTGATATTCTGTCTGAGCAGGAATTAACAATAGCAGAGAATTCTCTCCCAGATTAGGTGTTAGACCATGACAGTTGTTTTCTTCCTTCTTTAAGATTTAAAATTATAGCCTCAAGCTGCGGCTTTCAGGTTTTGTTTTTTTTTACTAGCACACTAGTCAGTGACATAAATTAATACCTGCATGTTTGTGAAGAAGCCTGATTTTTTTCCTTTTTACTTACAGTACATTTTTATAAAAAACCTATAGACACAGTCTTCAGCAGGCAATGTTTTGCTGTATAGTCAGTGGATTAGTAATTCTTACACTTTAACTGCACTGGCACAGTTTTACCTTGTCATGTGCTCTCCGTAAAACATCTGTTTTTCATTGTGTGAGCAATGCAGCTATAATGAAGAAATAACTCTTGGGTTTGTTGAGATTTTTTCAATATCTGTGTATAGTTGTTGGGAATTCATACAGTGTCTGCAGTGGTAAAAACTCTTGCTTCAGTACCTGATCAGGAAGGTTCTGTACAATATCTAGTGCATGATACTGTTGTGTATCCTCATGAAGGCCCGGCTAAGTTGCATTCCTTCCCCCTGATCTAAAACCAGATCTGGCATTGAAGGATTGTGAATTATCACATCTGCTTTCTCAATCTGGTTGGTACCTCTTTGATATGTTCCTTGTCTTCATTTACCTTTTGTCAGTATTGCTAATGCATGGGTCTGTGGTGATGGTGGTGGTATCTCTTGCATGGGGAGAAGACTCGAGTACTAGGAGAGGGTTGAGAGGAACCAAGAATGACATGTATGTGCTCAAGAAAATGCCTAAAGCTTGACTTGAAACTCCAGGGACTTAATCTGATCAACGTTGAGCTGATGTCCTTCACATGTTTAACTGGACTTTATTTTTTAACATCACTTCCATTTCTGGAGAGAGAAAGTGAAAAACTGATGAACCGGGAGTGTGGGATAAACCAAGCTCATTTTTGTCCAGACATTTGCATTCTGTTAACTACTTAGGTAGTTAGCCTGCTTAGGTTGCACTGTGTGGTCAAGAAACCTCTGCTGATTAACTGTGCATTCCAAATTGCCCCTGCACAGTAGACGAATGCAAGCAAACAGACTAAAGCTTGGGGAAAGGACATAAAAGATAGAAGTGTTACCAGCTCTTATTACCTACATCTTGCAACAGTCATGTATTCAAGTATTCATTAGAGCAGTGTGTATTGTCAGACAATTTGAACTATTTTCTCAGGAATCACTCTGCAGAATTATATCTTTAGGTTTCTAAGGAAGACTAAGTATAACATAAGAGACAGTGCTCCACCTCCACTTTTTAAAGAGACATTTGAATATTTTAGTGATGTTCTCAGTCTTTCCTACACTGTGCTGTCAACAAGGGCTTGGTAGGGCCTAGCCTTTGCAGGGAAATGATCTCTTCATGGGAGCAGACCAGGCTAAGCAGCAGTCAGGATGAAAAAAGGAGATCATTAAAGAAATAGTTATTCTTTTGATTTGTTAACACTTTGAACAGCTAACAAATTGTCATGCAGGTAGTTAAATGGCAGATGAGATGAATGGGTTAACTTCTTTTTGAATGCTTCCCTCAGCTTATTGTTTCTCTCTGCTGTCTGTAGGTGAGCAGCGTTATCAGGACCAGGCTTATGACAAGCAAGAATGATATTCAAGTACTCTGAATATGTTTCTAATTTCCTGCTGTTTGAAGGCTGCGTCCAGTTGCTGTCTATTTCTCATTATTGTTCTGCTTTGACTTGAATGGTATCAGGTTTTCCTTCTGCTTTCCCTTTTAGGTGTTTCAGTCAAGCGAGGTTCCAGAAAAGACATCATCACCTGAAGAATCAATCCGGATGACGAAAGGAATCACCATGGCAACTGCCAAAGCTGTTGCAGCTGGGAACTCATGCAGACAGGAGGATGTGATTGCTACAGCAAATCTGAGCCGCAAAGCAGTAGCTGACATGCTAACAGCTTGTAAGGTAAAGATTCACTTCTTTGCTTAAGACTGATTTTATTTTTCTGTGGGGTGTGTGCCTCTAAATCCCTTGAATGTTATAGTTTCTGTTCAGTTTCTTTGTATTAATGCTCTGCTTTTCAGATGAGAAAGTTAATGGTTACGATAATTTTAAGGGAACATCTCTCTCAGAAAATATTTTCTGTGCTACACACAAAAAAAAAAGCAGCAGTGCTAGTATTGACTGTTTTCTTTTTGTGAAATTTAGAAGTTTAATTTGACCTGAAATTTCCCTAGTTTTCCATCTCCTGTTACTGGAAGACAGACAGTCTGTACAAGTAATAGAATATATGGATAATCTTATGTTCACAAATATGGTTTAAGTATTTCTAGGAATACTGAAAGGAATGGTGAAAGGAATCACTCAGGTCTATTTTTAGTAGTCCTTCTTCCCCTCCTAACCAGACCTGTCAGTTTGCTGAATTTCTTCTCTGCTTTTCAAAAATGTGTTTTGCCTTTGCATTAAAAATATTGGTACCCTGTTTTCTACACTTGCTTGAACTAGGCAACTTCCAAAAACTGACCTGCAAAACTAGAGAGGAAGTATGTGTCATATAAATGGCTATTAAGCCATTTGGCTTTGTTCTGATGATAAAACGTCTAGGCATAATTAATTTAAAAAAAAAAAAGGTATTATAGAGATCTCATTCCTCTTGGTCTTCAGTAGTAACACAAAAGTGCCTTTGCCAGTAAATTATATTTAGTTACTTTTGCCTTTCGATGTATGGGAGATAACACTAAAATAATGGTGCTCTCTGTGAGGTGTCTGATTTTCAGTATTTGGTCAAATCCTAGCTGCCTGTGTCAGTCCCAGATTAATTTTTAGCCTAATACTGCCCAGGTGGAAGGGTTAATTTTGTTTTTAAAATGATCCTTGTGCAAAAGAACTGATTTATATAAAAACCATTGAATGAAGCTTTTTATTTTGACTTAGTTTACTGACAGTGTTTTTAGTGTCTGACAGTTCTGACAACTTGGCATGCTTCAGATTTTGATTCTGTCCTCTCCATAAAATCGGCAGATCAACAAAACAAAGCAGCTCTCCTTTGCATGGGAAAATTAAACAACTGCTACTTACATGAGAACTAACATAGCCTAATGTGTCTTAGGTACAGTCCAGTTAATTGAAACTTCTAAGGGAGGCTTAGAACAGTTCATAGTTCTCCAACATTCTGAATTCAGATGCTGAGATGCACTCACCCTTTGTCACTTGGAAGTGGCAAGTGCAGACACATTTTTGTTTCCATCTCACCAAACAGGCAGCAAATTCTCAGGAACAGAATCCTCTGTTTCTAAAAATACAATAATCACACTCACGTGCACAACACACAGCCCAATGTGTAGTTTTTGAACATTTAATTATGAACATTCATCTTTTATGTTTATATGTGCTCTCAGATAGTGTAATGGTTTTGGAGTTCAGGCATTGCAAATGGCCGAAAGTATGAAACTTCCTGCAAACAGAACAATGGAGGTCTGGGGAGCTGGGAAACCATTCACAAACTCCCAGGGAATTACCTTCACAAAGAAGGTTTCATTCCTACCGAAGGAAACTGGCTGGAAATCATTTACTAACTGTAATGACAAGGAGTAAGATCTAGTTCCATCTTGTCTAGCTTTCCTAAAATCAAGACTGGTTATGGGGCAAACAGGAATAAAAGTCTCCAGGTATACAGATATACTAATTTTATGCACTATTTAAAAGGTATGACAAAATAGCCATGTCATTTAACAAAGCTTTTAAATATACAGTATGTACCAGCCTTTATTTAGTAAGTCCTGTTTCTACAAATTTTGCTCAGAGACTTAATCATATGCCATTAATTTCTGCAAATTGATTCTTGTACTTGGCATTTCCATGATAAGCCACATCCCTTGAATTTTAGAGGTAGAGACCAACAGACAGCCTCACCACGCCGTAAAAGCTGTGCAATGCAGTGCAACTTGATTTTTGATTTGACAAGTACAGGAGGAGTTTCCAGTGTGACTAAGCTAGTCTGTACAATAAGCACTGACAGATTATCACATTTTTATGTCCTTTGGGCTAAGACAGAAGTACATGTATATGATTTATGGTAGAAGTGTATATAACATAGCTCAGACTTCCCTGGTGTCAGGAATTTAAGTTCTATTTCATTGCCAGCTGCCTAAGGCAACAAGTATAAAGGATTTGACTTATTAGCAGTTTCACATATATATATATATATATATCTTGATCTGCTATACGTGAATTTACAGTGTTCATTACTAATTTTATGCTTATAAGTAGATTTCAAAAGACAATGAAGTTGATTGCCACAGGATATAATGAACCAAGACAACTCTCATTAAAGTCAGTGGAAACACTGTAATTACATTTACTGAAGGTTAAAGCAGGGACTAAGATAATAAAAAATTCTGTATTTATTACCTATTTGTATAAAATAATGACTAGGCAGTAAGTCACCTGTGCCTAATATCACTATTTTTAATGATCGCTGTTGGAAAGGAAACGGGTATGAAAGGTCTGTCAAAAGCATAGAAAATAATTGAGATGAGTAATGACTTAGATTATTATATAGCCAGTAGATTGAGGGAAAGTATTATTCACCTTTTCTCAGCACTCATTAGAATGCATCTAGAATACTGTGTCCAGTTTTGGGCTCACTGAAAAAAAAAAGCGCTGATTAAACTGGAGCGAGCTCAGCAGAGCCCACCAAGACAGTTGAGACTAGAGCACAGGCCCTCCCTGTTCAGCCTGGAGAAGAGATGGCTTTTTGGGGAGCTCACAGCAGCCCTCTAAAACCTACTGAGAGATTTCTGAGAGGAGACAGTGTCAGGCTATTTACTTGAGGTGCATGGCAGGGGAATGAAACACAATGGTCAAAAATTGAAATATAGGAACTTTCAATTATTCCACTGTGGCAATAATTAAACATTGGGACAGGGGCCTAAGAGGCTATGAAAGCTCCATCTTTGGATGTTTTCAAGACCTAAGTTATCTGGTCTAAATTTAATGTTGACTTAGCTTTAGGCAGAAGATTGGACTATGTGAAGTCTTCAGGTTCCTTCAAAAAGCACTGATTTTTTGACTGTGACTATCTCAGTACGTTTTACCTCCACAAGTTATTCCTCGGTGCTGACAGGCTGGAAGTTGTAATACTATAGTCAAGTTGTGCTGGCCACCTTACAGTTTTGAAAGCACGTGAGGAGAAAATGGAGGCTGATAATGGAGAGGAGCCCTCAGCATGAGGGAATAAATGGGTATTCTGGTTCTTTGGAGACATGTTTCAGTTTGAGATGCTTCAGCAGGCTTTCGGTGCAAGTCTGCAGAAGTAAACATTTCTGTTGTGAGTCCTAACTGGTGTAGTGAGACTTCTGTTGGGATGTTTCTGGGTTACAAAAATATCTTCCTAAAATGACTTTATCATTTCCTTAGTCTGCTGTGAAGTATAGGGTTTGTTTTAAGACTCATTGAAATGCTCCCAAAATATTCTGATCTCGGTCTTGGTTACGTATGCAAAGCATTACAGAAAATTTCTATTTCTCTCCTACAGATGTTTCTTCCAATTGCATATGTAACAATAGTTTTAAGTATTTAATATTTAAGTGTTAAATAAATATTTAAGTATTTAATATTTAAGTGCGGAAGAGGCATATTAGAGTCCTTACAATGTATTCACATGAATCACTGAGGGATCCTTCTGCCCTATTTGAAAAATGATAAATAATCTGTTCTTTATTTTCTGGGCCTTCTGGAGCTTGTTTGAAGTATGCTGAAGATGGGGAAAATCCTATCCCGTTTCCTCCCATCTACTTTCCCTTCAGATCATTTGTTGACAAGATAAAGAGGTGAAGGTGGCTTAACGAAAGCCGTTTCTGTGCTCTGCTGATCGTGAACTTCCCAGCAGAGGGAGCCCATAGACCAGCTCCAGACCCAGCGGATAAAAGCTCTTGCTTGGGTTGCAGGAAAGCTCAAAATAAGCGAGCAGTGAGATAATCCTCCGTGCCACTGGAGCATGCGAGGCTGCAGGGGTGGAAGGAGCTGATTTGCTAGAGGAAACGCTAATTTTTAAGTTTTTTAGGAAGTTTCATTTGTCAACAACTAGCACTTCTGTTTAATAAAAAGTTCCCTAGGAATTCATTTTAGAAAATACAAGGCTTGAACAGGATGCAGTTTTCACTTTTTATTAAAAATAAAATGGTTGAATTAGTCAGGCTTGTGTAAGACATTGTACTTAGTGGAAATCCTTAAGAAGTCAAAGAACTGACTTTGCTGCTGCTTCTCTGTATTTAAACAGGTGATTCCAGCACTGCCTATTACTGTGTTAAATCCCTATGTCAAGCTAAAGCCGTTAGTGTTACCAAATAACAAAAAGCAGCTGATGCTTTCTTTTGGGTGCGCGGGTAGATGGGTTTGTTGGTTTGGTTTCCGTCTCTCTCATGTAAGAATAATGATATCCTGGCACTTCCACAGCACTTTTCCTCTGTCATTTACAAAGCTTTCTATAAGGAACAAACAATTATCTTTATCTTGCAGAATGGAGAAGCAAAAATGAGATCCACGTTTGACCCATGCACTAGGCTGGTGGTTGACCTTTGGCCCAATGTCTTCTGGAGCCAGCCCAGTGCTTTGGTCTCTAAACAAGTTGGCCATTTCTGCTTTCATTCCTTGATGGTAGGCTGTACAGGCTTACAATAAAACAATAGTTTTAGCATATTTCTAACCTGGCAGATACAAATAGTCATTTGATGGTGGCAAAACTGCACTTACAATTTTAATTTTTGTTGGTATTAGTAAAAAAAAAAAGAGTCACAGTAGCATAACTTTTGCACTGTAGGACAGTATATATGCAACCCAAGAGCCCATTCCAGCCTCAAGATGTTTTTCAAGTGATATATTTTCATTAGAAGAAATCATAAATACTCCTGTATTTTTAGATGGTTCTTCAAGAGTTTCTCTATTTGTTCTTAACTGACAGAAAGAAGTAGTACTACTGCTGACAATACCTAAGGAAGAACACTAAGAAAGACTGCAGATGCACACCTAGACAGGAGAATAAAAGGAAAATGTTTCCAATGCCATTCTTAGAACTGGAGCTCTGCTGCTCTTTCAGCTTAGTGTGCTTACACCTTTACAGCAGAATCAGCTGGCCCTCAAGCTCAATGTTATTTGCACATTACGTGAAATGTCTTCCTTTCTCTTTCTCCTGTCTTCTCTGTGTTGACCTCCTCTTGTGGGAGCAGTTTTGGGGTACTAATGTTGTTTTGCCTCCTCAGCAAGCATCATATCACCCAGACGTCAGTGAAGAAGTTCGAGAGAGAGCCCTGCGCTTTGGAACAGAATGTACCCTGGGATACCTGGAACTCTTGGAACATGTTCTCCTGGTAAGGAGTTGTCTGCATGCACATAATCTCTCTGACCTCTTTCTATAGAGGCTGCCAGTGACACATTTTTGTCAGTTTGTTACAAGATAGTGAACAGTTTTGTTACTCAGGAAAAGCAACCTAAAGTAAACTCAGTACTTCAGCTCAAACTGCAAGACAGAAGGAAGACTGGAAGTTCTTAAATGGGACTGAATTCTGGATCAGATCCAGAGGCAGTACAGGTCTTGACCTAAAATTGGTCCCTGACACAGAGGGTAAAATAAGAATTCAGTATTCTTTTAAGCCCCCCTCTAAGCTTTAGACATATTAGGCACACTCCTGTCCCTCAGACCAAGAAGGTCACGTAATCTTTATGAAAGCACTTTTACATGCCTTTTGCAGCCCTGATTCCAGGAAAATAAAAGGCACCCACTCAATGCCATCCCAAAACCCGAAGCCAGCACTGCCTCACAAAGTGCTCTCCAACTCATGCCAGACATGACAGCCCCAAAGTTCTGCATAAAATTTTTCCACTCAGATACAAACTCATGTATCCTGCTGTCATTTGGCTTTTCTTGACTATACATGACAATATATTGTCATATGACAATATACATACAAGAACAATATATTGTTCTTCTGTTGCTATGACATTTGCAGAGAGCAATAACGTATGTTTGAACTAACATTTGTGAGATACTGAAGTTTCTAGAGGTGCCTTAAATCAGCAATCACCTTCATGGACACCCAGAGACTTATTTTAAGTGGCTTTAAGTTGACATATTAAAATCTCTGAAACTGAAATTTGCAGCCACTAACTGCAGATTAGCAAATCCAAGTCAGCTTTACTGCTGAGACTACAGCATGTCTAATAATTTACATCAACTCACTGATATATACATAACACAGAAGCAAAGTCACAGTTATGCTTGCCACTAGCAGGGAAAATAGTTCAAGAAAGATTGAACTCATTAATTCCTAGAGTTGCATAGCAGTAAGTAATTTAGCATTAGAAGTGTGATCCATTTTTAGTTTAGAACCACTTTGGGGAATTTTTCAGATTTGGACCTCAAACTCAGTCATGGTACTTGTTGCAAACTATATGCCAGAACAGAGCAAAGACTTGAGTTAATTTTTGCTCATTTTATTTTTCTCTTTCTGCTTAAGTAAAGAGGCTTAAGGTAAGAAAGGCCTGTTCCTCCAATAAAGCAGAGCAAGACTTTCTTACCTTAAGCTGCTTTACTTTCAGGGCCCTAAACCCATGAGAAAATTTCACACACACCTACACACACCCCAATGTTTGCTGCCTTGGAAAGCTGACTGACCCAGATTACAAGCATAATTGAAGAGCATGATGCCTGCATGGAAAAAAAGATGTGTGTGATGGTAACTTCATCTTCACTCTTTGCTGAAGTCTGTCTAGATCTAGTCATGTACACACACAGTACATCTATGCAGTGATCCATAAACAGAATCCGGAAAGCAGGTGAGAAAAAGATTACTTTTAGAGGAGTACTGAACCAAGTAAATGACAGACTTTTGGTTCTCTTTCCCCTGAGTTCTAACTCCTGGGAGTTGTGACAAAGACACAGTCTAAATGTAATCCAGGTGATTTATTTGCTTGTTCTGTTGTTACCTGAGCTGTTATTCTGCCATACACAATCTTGCTAACTTAACATCCTAGCTCAGATATAAGAAAATGATAGCAAGATGGTTTCAGCATTAGACATCTCTGTTGCTTCCTGGTCCCTGTTACTCTGGTAGTTTAGAACCCCTAGGTCTACAATCTCATTTAATTTTTAACCTCTAGAAACGCAGATCATCTCAGATTAGAAATCTTTAATTAGTCCACGTGGCACCTTGTTAGTACGTTCAGTCATGCCCTTGGTAGTCAGGCTGGGTATGATTGCATGGGTGTCTCAAGACAGTGATGCCAAGGAGTACTATTCAGCAGCCGTGTTTCTTTGAAGATGATACTTTTTAGGCACAAGATCTGTCAGATGCAATATCTAAGATTTCTTAAGCCACTATATTGACTTATGTGGAGGTTGCGTTGGGCAAGTGGCACAAAACTGACTTGGTTGCTCAAAGGAATATTCCTCTAATCAGCTAGGCAGGGGTGTAGGGCATGGGAACACACTAATTAAAGGTGTTGGGCATGCACAAGTAGATATAAAACAACTTGTAAGTTGTATTTTTAGCAAGGTTAAAGACTGATCTGCACTCCTACATACTAATATGCTCCATATTGGTCAGTATTGACGCATGCTGAGTTGAGGGGAAGTCTGAAGCTTTTGTTGTTGTTTTCCTCATGCCATGCCTCTACATGACTCTGCAAGGGTTGAGAATCTGCTGTGATTTCTACACTGGCTTTAAAACAGTGTCATTTGTAAATGGCCTAGTTTTAAAATTTACATCCGTTTGTTCAATTTCAGCCTTGTCCCCACTATCATAGGTAGCGCTAGTGTCACAGTTGCTGGAGAAGAAAATGTCATTCTTTGCTATAGTCCTGACCACATTTGTGTATTTTTGGACATATTTACTTGCATGGGAAGATAACCCTTGCAATGCTCAATGCTCAAGTTCTGCTGGTCTAAGGGATTATGCAGTGTGTAAACATTGGTTATAACTGCATTGTTACACTTTGTTAGCATTGCAGATTGTTTAGCTATTGACAGTTTATGTACCTTTTACTATGGAAACTAACTGATCACCCTAAAGATCATCCTTAGGATGCAGGAGACCAGTCCACCCATACATGACATGGCAGTTCCAGAGAGACTGAATTCCTCATGTGTCAGAGTTCTCACCAGGCAAGGTTAAGAAAACAATTCAGTTTAGTTTATTCTGTCAAAGTAAGAGGTTAGGCATCTGACTGAAAAATAGGAAATGCTCTTACAAAAATATAAAATGTATTTTCAATGTGCATCTAGTTTTCAGAGCTGCTTTGTGGAGGAGTTCTGAAAACGCTAAGAAAATGCACACCTGAATGTGACTTTCAAGACTCAACCTCTTGTTTTGCTCTTAAATATCTCTGCATATCTGTCACTCTCCTCTCAGAACTAGTTTTTGAGTATACATTTATTTCCAGAACGTAATCTTTTTTCTCCTTACAGTATGGTAATCAAAAATGCAAATATTGTTCCTGTTCAGGGGAGGAATTCAACTTCTCTGTCTGAATGTCTGACTGTTTTCCATTTGAAGAAACACAGCTTAATATTTGATGCAAATTCAGTTAAGAAGTGTCTGTCTTCTCTTATATTTAGGGGTCTTACCCAGGGCTGGGATTTCTAACACTTTTGTAGTATACATCAGACGTTGCAGTGTAAGCCTTTATTCCTAGTGATCTATTAACTATTGTATTTCTGTCACTGGACTCATGTTTTCTCTCAGATGATTGCTCTATAAAGGAAATCTTTCACTAGTGTACCTTGGAAATGTTCCAGCATTCCCTGGAATCCTTACTAATATGCATTATTTCATTTTATCTTTTCCTCTAGATCCTTCAAAAACCAACTCCAGAACTGAAGCATCAGTTGGCCTCTTTCTCCAAGAGGGTTGCTGGTGCTGTTACAGAGCTCATCCAATCAGCAGAAGCAATGAAAGGTGAGTTGGGCACCCTGGCTAGCAGTACAGTGTGCTTTTTACTCCAGAGGTGATGATCTGTCATTTTTGTAGTTTAAAACAGAGCCAAAACCTACTCCCTCCCCCTGCTTTTTAGTAAGTTCTAGGTGTCTTGGTACCACCCACTTCCCACTTGGTACCTCCTACTTCCAGTGAATACTGCTGGTATTCACTTGTTCACAGTGTTGGTAAACATGTCTGTTTCACCCTCTACCGCTTCACATGATTGATCATAAGTAATCTGTAAATCATGTGGCCTTTGAAGATGGAATCATCAAGCAGAGGACTCAAGAGCCACAGTAGCAGAAAAAAAAATACAGTATCAGTCCTATTGAACTGGTGGCTGAATTGTAATGGCTGGTTGCTTTCCTCACATTCATGTTTGCTCAGACAAAATTAGTCCTTTGCTTTGCAGTGATAGTCACTTTCCAACTTCAAATAAAAGGGGATACTATCATCTTACTGAATTAATACTCAGCCTCTAATGATGTCAATTTTAGGTCTGTAGTGCTGACAGTCCTCTGTCTGGGTTCTGCACTGACACAATATGTTAAAGAAACAATGAGACTTCAGAAAATTGTGGTCTGGATGATTTCCTGAACTCTTAGATTTGAACAACTTGTGGACGAATATAAATTCAGGACTCAAATAAGTAATGAATTCCATTGCTTAGCAGAAATTCATTGTTCTTGTAACAGATGAGGGAAGTTTTTCTCAGATACTGACTTCCTTTGTAAGATTATTATCCAGTGATGCAGACTCTTAGGATGTCAGTTCTCACATTCTACATTTTAAATGAGATGAATATGTATTAAGGGTGGTGTTATTAAATATTAGGCCACTACTGCTAAAGTATTTCTGCTACCAGATTTACTGGGAACTTTAGTCTAAAGAAATCTTCACAGCCATCAGAAAGGCATACGAGCATTCTAATCTCATAAATAATAGAATGCTACAGTAAAATATTTTTAAGAAAGCATTGTAATCACTTTTTAATAAATTCTGCCCTGCAAACAAAGGCTTCTAGTAAAATCATATTAATTCCATCATTCTTTCCTAATCTAGTCCAGAGAACACTATACTCATTTTTCTGTAAGATACACTGCAGGTTTTCCTCAGTTATTTCCTGCTTTTATCAGTACGTATTCCTTGGAAAAGAATCCTTACTAAGCATTTTCCATATATAGGAATCCTTTATATGTTTTCCCCCCTCTATGTCTTAATATAGTTACTGTGTTTCATATAACAGTGATCTACATTATGGTTTATGTTCAGGTAAATTTATTGAAATCTTCAGCTTTTTCTGCACTCTTTCATATGCTTCAAAATTTCCATTTTCATTTGCTAACAAGCCAAGCCAATATCATAATTTTTCTATTCCCTAAACGATTTTAAAAAATCTTTTTATTGTCGTCATCTTTGTAGACATAATACATGCCTACATTTCCAGTAGGTTTTGCATTTTAATTCATATTCATTAAAATAAAAATTCACATTTTTTGCTTTTTTCACTTACTGCCTATACGGGATTTTTTTTTATTCACTTTAGAAGATTTTTTTTTTAACCATTCCCAATTTTAATTCCTAATTTTCGTGTATAGATGTATGATAAAATTCTGTCTTCTAACCAATTTAGCATGTAAATGTTTTCGACCTTATGAAATGCCTCTTTTTTTTGAAGAACTGCTACATTTTCCAAGTTTGATCTTGTCAGTGTTTATACGTGTTGTTTGCGTTTAAAAAAATCCCTGCTTATCTGCTAAGATTAGTCTTTAATACAGAATCCCTTCACGTTGTATGCCACTTGGTCTGAGGAATTGTCTTTAGTAATGTTTTGATATTTGATATGAAATACATATATATGCACTATATAGGGATTAATAAAATGAAACATAGCTCACTAGGATTACAGTAACATGTACTTCAGCTTTCTCCGAGCACATCATAAATAGGAGCCAGTCATTTTGTGTTATCCTGTGATTTGGTCATCCATACAGGAAGCTGCCTCATTCTTTAGTTGGTGCAATGTTGATCCATAAGCATTCAAGGTTATTTCCTTTAATATTTGATGAATCACACATCAGTTATGCTATTCCTGATGCAGAGTGCCAGTATTCTTCTCCCCTGTCACTCTTCCTTAATAACAATTAATGTTTCCATGGATATTTTAATATTAGACTCACCCAAACTTTCTGATCCAGTTTCAGTAAGTTTAACAAGGTCTTAAGAGATTATTTTTTTCTTTTTTTTTTTTTTTTTTAATTTTTATTCTACCTTTGCCTGGTGTACACTGGTTCCCATCCTTTTCTGTTTCCATCTGTGATGCCACTTCCTCCCCTTGCCCATAGTAGTTATGAACTTAGAATTTTTCTTTCTGGTTTCCTTTTCTCTCTCTGATTTTCCTTTTTCTCTGTGTCATTACTCCCCTCATTCCAGAACATGGATATTTTCATTTAGAGCTTAATGTTATGAAATTGAAAATAATAATGCACTGAGAACTTCCAAAAGTATGAGATCACCTCCAGCCAAGCATTCCTTTTGTGGACCTACAAAATTTCTGTGAGCCAAGAGAAACGCCAAAAACTAAAAAAAAAAAAAAAAAAATAATAATTTGCCTTTGCATGTTACAAAAACTGCTTTGGCATTCTCTACATTGCTGTTAGAAACACATGGCCAAAAGCATGCTTTCTTCAGTCAATACTAGCTCATCTCTAACCACTGCCAAAAAAGACTCTGAAGAGTGTGCTGTGGATGTTTGTCTGTTGTCAATAACAAGTCTCCTTTACCATTCTGTCAGACTTCTCAACGTACCTTACCAGTTCGTCAAGTTAGAAACCATCTTAGTAAGAGCTCTGATAAAATGAAAGCTGAGTGACAGCTAGTTTTGTTCCCAGTATGGACAGTAGCTGTTTATGGATCTGCTTTGCTTACACAGTTCTTCATTAAGTTACTTTCACAACAGAATAATC